GCATAAATATCATAATATTTAACAATCTAAAAATCTTAGAAAAGCTCTCATAGCCGGACGCTCTAATAAGCGGGCATCTCCTATAAGCGGTTTTTTACAATACAAAATGCTCTCCCATACACAGACTTCTCGATAAACAGACGCGGACACTCAAAAATGTCCAGTTATGAAAAAAAATCTCCCATAAGCGGACGCGAAGCTCTAAGTGGTAAATTTTATTTTATTTTCTGAGTCAGATGTTAACTCTTGCGCTTGAGCATATGTATGTATATGTTCACAAGAACATAGCCCATATTCAAAGATATTTTCTTTTCAGAAGAAAGTGTTGCCTTTTCGTTGCCCTCTACTGGCTGCTTGCGCGAAGTGGGCAATGAGATATGTCGGTAGGAAAGAAAACGGCATAAATTTCAGTTTATTTTTAATTCATCCTGTTTCTGTCTATTAAAAAATAAATATTAATTTAATTTAGAAATCCGTAATTTAATTGTTTTAAATTACAATTTTTGTGTTATTTTTTTTAAGAAATTGCCATTAGCGGGCATCTCTCATTGGCGGACAAAAAGTAGGTGACCATCGGTGTCCGCTTATGGGAGCTTTCACTGTATTACAGAAAAAAAAAATCAAAAATGTAAACATGTTTTATTGCTATCGTTAACTATATCATAATTGATATTTTTTCGTAATTGCTAGAGCACAATTGTTGAAGAATAAATATCATAGTAACTCAAAAGTCTCAAGAGTTATCGATATCGTTATTGTTAGTGACTTCATAACCATTATCGATATTCTTATCGTTAACATTTTGTTATAACCATTTTGTTATTATTTTCATGCTATTATCATTAGAAACATCGTTATCGAAAGAATATCATAGTATGTATAAAAAAAAGTCCAAAATTTATCGATATTGTTATTGTTACAGTCACTAATATCATTATCCATTGTAAGCCATTGAAACGTAAAAAAATTGATCGATGTCGTTAGTGTTGTCGATAGAGTTTTATTATTATCGTGATTGTTGCGATTATTTGATGTCATTATTGTTATCGATAGAGTTTTATTATTATCGTGATTGTTGGGATCATTTTAATATTTTTCATATCGACATTTAAATCATCGGTACCATTACCGCTATTTTAATTTTTATCAAATACCGTAAATGTTATCGATTCGTGTTCGAAATCGAAATCGATTTTTTTATTGCTGGCGGATGTGATTGTCTTCTATTTGAACCAAAAAAGTTCTGAAAAAATAAATTTACACATTTTTATAATAAGTTGAAGTCATAAATTTTCCAAAAACCCCTTTTCGAACCAGAAGTAGTTGGAATTTTTCAACTGCTGTCGGTTTTTTGTATAAGTATATGAGAAAATCTCACGAATTGTTACATTTGTCGACAAAAACTTTTTTTTTATCTAAACTGGTGGCACACTTATCTAAGAAAATGCATTATCTTTAGTTTTGTATAAAGAACAAAATTCTATCGCGACATTGTATTTAAATGAAAACTTAAGAAAGATATACTAAAAAAGTAAAAATAAAAATAACCACACGTGTTCATATGTATGCCCGTAGCTGCCTACGTAACGTATACGCCCAGTGGCATCATACACAGTCATTTTACTCGCACGCCTTAATTTAAAAGTCATATTATTTAAAAGTAATTAAATATTGGCGTGGAAGATTTTTACACAGTATTCCTTATGCACACACATATTACTTTCTTCATGTATATAACAATGATATAATGAATTTCGAGTGTGCCAATAAAAATTGTAAAAATTGAATTTTAGTTTCTCAAACCATAGTCATCTTTTAATCAATGTATTTTTTTTAGTTTTACTACACTAAATTCGTTTTGATTGGCAAGAAGAACATTAGACGGCAAAAATTTTACCATTTTGAAGCAGCTTAAATTATTAAAACTAAAAAAAACGTAGAATTTCAAAAATTAAAAATAGCTGCGACAGATATTTTGCATGCTGCCACTTTTTTTTTTTTATTTGGTGGCACACTCTTGAGACTTCACAGATATAGTGTATTTGATGCCAACTTCCATTGCCTCTAATATGAACACACTATTTGAAAAACTTCCCACAGCTATTTAAAAAAAACACTTTCGCTTTTAGAGTAATAATGAAAAAATACTAATTTCGGTACTTTTTCGCCTAAAGAAACGTCGTAAAGCTAAATTTCTGAAATACTTGATTTATTTTTTATATTACTTGCTTCTGGAACTCTATTTGCTTTAGCGTCTTTTTTTAAGTTTTCTGTTTCAGAAAAGATTAGCGACTTCAGCGGCACGGCGTTCTACGAATGGGGCTATCGGCTGGAATTTTATATTTCCTCATGAAAAAATTATTCTCTGCATTTTAAATGTGAACACAAACACCATAAAAATTGGATGGACTTAGTCCATTTTCTCCTTCCTCCTAAAGGCCTCGTCTAACGTATTTTCCTGACGTTCGTCTTCTAATTGTTGGCTGTCCCTCTACCAGAGTGAGACCACACTGTACGCCCATTTAATTTTGATAAGATTTTCTAGCGACAACAATAAAAAACAAAACACTATCGCACTTCGCTAGCCATGAAGAATGTTATTAGCCTGGCTATGGGTTTTATTTACAATGCAATGCTAAACAATATTTGTTTAAAAATAGTAGACACGAGCAATGAGCAAATAAATATAATATTATTGTAATTGCTATTCAACCATTTCTTAGCATACACGTACTATGTACATACGTATATAAGTACTTAATATGTAGCTTAACTTAATGAATTGCTTTGTTAATTATTTTGTATTGAATGGGCTTTTAAGCTTAATCAATTAACCAGACAATAGCGCTGTGTGCAAGTATTTGCTCTACCTCACACGCCTCCCAGCCCTCTTGCCATTCACTGGCTGACACATCATTTACGTACATACGAGTATGTAGAAATACAAATAACCCAAATGTAATTCTTAGACTTGCGCGTTTAGAAAAGATCACGAGTACGGTGTTGGATGGATTATAAACACGTGTATTTGACAGCTTAATTGACTGAGGTGCGCCGAGTGGCAATGGTTTACATAATAAATAGTAGCGCAAAACAATTTCTTTTGAAAACGGATTTGAATGTGAACCAAAGCGGTAATGGTAAAGAATTTAAGCACATGGGATAATATTTTTGAGTTTGTAGCAACTTACTAAGCCAACCCAAGATCATTGAATACATTAGATATTGTGTTATCCTTCTAATCTAACAACAGATCGACGACTGTTTCCTGAAAATTGTTGGGGGAATTTTTATGCAGTAACAATGCAAAAACATTAGCAACAGACCCAGACAATTTACTGCTTCGATCTATACGTATTGGAAACTCGTTAGATATCTTTTGGTTGCTTTCGTATAAGTACTACATGAAACGAGAGTGCTAATAAAAGCCCGTCTATAGTCTGTATATTATTTTTCGAAGAAAATAATTTTAACATGCCCCCCTCGGCCATCAGGGTCATAATTTTCCACCAACCAAAGATCTGGCTAATGAGACAAAGAATTGAGTGATACTCATCATCTCTGCAACAATTTGTCTCCGATTAAATTATTTCGATTGGCTAGTCCTGATAGCCGATGCAACTGTCTCATACTTATGTATATGTATGAGGGCTCCGATGAGACATCTTCAAGTAAACAATTTGGGTACTATTTCTGTTAATTATCGAGGTAATGTATTATTTGCGTTTATAATTTTACGCGAACTGCTTGCTTAAAAAATTAATAAATATGTCGATACTATCGAAAGTGCCATCGATAGTTTTGCAGCTCACCATGTTGAATCGACCAATAGTTGGTATCGACCCTGTTTGATTTGGATGAACTTTGGTCAGAACTTTTTTTATCATATAACGAAGCTCTGCCAAAGAAAAAAAAATACGAAAGTTCTAAATTTCATAATTTCCCGAATTTCTAATCTTATTTTTTGAATATCTCAAAAACTACTATGGTTCTGGTCTCTTTTTAAATGTGCTATTTAGTGCTATATAAAAAAATATATTTTAAAAAAAATTCGAAAATAAAATATATAAAAAAGTTTTAAATTCAAAAGCAAAATTAAACTTTTAGCTAAATTTGTTTATGTCATGCTTCTAAAAGATCTTAAAAGATCCTGAAATTTTTTATAAAGGTGATGTTTGGGGCTATATAAAAACATATATATTAAACAAAAATTCGAAAATAAAATATTAAAAATTATTAAAAAATCGTAAAGGGAAAATTAAATTTTTAGCTTTTTTTTTATGTAATGCCTCTAATTGATCTTTAAGTGTTTTTTAAAATATGAATTTTTGAACATTGAGAAAAGAAATTATTGCAAACTCTTTATTAAAAATTGATGAACAAAAATACAAAGTTCAAAAATGTATATCTTAAAAAACAACACCTTGACAATTTTAGAACATTTCAAGATCAGTTAAAGGTATTGTATAAAATGTTGAACCAAAAATTTGTCTAAGTTTTTGCTTTTAAATTTTTTGTCTTATTTCACAATTCTGTATTTTTTTACATTTTCACTTTTTTATATACAAATGTATTTTTATTTTATAGTCCTAAAATAAGACCAGAACCATTATTGTTTATTCAAAAAATAAACTTGCAAAATCTCGGAAATTGTGAAATTTAGGATTTTGGATAACTTTAAACTTCTACCGCTTAAGCTTTGTTGTTTTTTCCATTTTCCCTAACAAACAAACAAACAAATCGTGGTACAAAGCTCAATAATACTATAAAAATAAAAAATTTTAATTTTTTTACTTTGGCAGAACTTTGTTATATGATAAAATAAAAGTTCTGACCAAAATCCATCCAAATGAAAAGTGTTCTATTCGAGCCATTTGTCGATTTGACCTGGATTGATCCATAAGTAAAGATTTTTCGATGAGCCACGTCTATTCAAAAAATAAGTATATAAAAATTGATCTACTGTTTGAATAAAAAAACAACCATATAAAATTACTTACGCGATATTGTTGTTATTGTTGTAGCGCTCGTGCTTGTTTTGGTGCTATATTTGTTGTACGCTATTTGTTGCGGTGGCTTTGCTTTTAAATTTTTTGTTTGTTTCGTTTTCACACTGACTACTTATAGTAAGCAACAACAATTGCTGCTGGTTTTATTTTGTTGTTGGCTTTGTTAGAATGATTTTTTTTTTGTTGTTCTTACTTTTCGTTTCGCTACACACAACACACAATAGCGGTATATAAATGCCACGATTTCACTTGTTGCTCTTTTTGTTGTTGTTGTTGTTGATGTTGTTTTCGGCGGTTATCCATAACTGCAAAAAGTAAGAAGAAAAAACATTTAACCATTAAAAATAGGCAATAATTAACAAAAACAAAGAACAATTTATAAAGAGTGATGCAATGTTGATAAATATGTCATCAGACTTTTACGTTGATAAGGCATGTGATTTGACAAAACTTAAACTTAAGAAAGGTCAATTTGAGTTGAACTACAATATCGTTAAAGCAATTTTTTTTATATAAAATTATATATAAAATATATTGTTTAAATTTCTTTTGGTGTATTAGATTTTACTAAGACTTTCACTTCCAAATGAGCACAAATTAAAATAATATTTTTGTTTATGAATATCTTGTAAGATTTATATATTTAAAACATATCGTCACGATCAAGATCGAAAGCAACATCTCGTACGCTAACGAATGCTCCATATTGGAGCCGGGAACTGAAATTGATGACCTGTGCTCAGAAGTAAACTTCTACCACTCCGAACTTTCTCGTTTCTTCACTTGCAAAGTGTCCAACGCTCTTCCTTAATCTCGAAATCCTCAGCAATCATTTTTACCACCTGGCCGAAAGGGGTCAGGCTAAAACTGGGTGTTCTTGTCACCGGCGTACTCATTTCGACTGAGAACAACCCGACTCTCAGTTATGGAGCACAACATTCAGCTCAGCAAGAAGTAGTAGTAGTTGAACCCTACTCCTACAGTCGGGAGAACCCGAAAAGGCACTTGCTCGGTACGTAGCCTTCAATAAGGTATGTATGCACGTCTGTATGCTTCTCTACGAACTAACGGACGAGGTTCAACAATATGTGCAACAGCCACTAAATCCGGCACTATATAGACGGGCAATACACGGCATTCATAGGGAAGCTGTCACCACCTTGACTAACTTCCGACTGCTAAATGCCGTCATAGGAGTACAATCAACACCTGCAGAAAAAATGAGCTTCCACTGCTGAGAGTGACCCGCGAAAATCTGACTCAATTACGGTATGATTATTGTAATTGATCAAACTCCCTACTTGTCCAGACTAGATGCCGACGTGCCCAACATATGTCTGGCAGGTGAAGGTTCTCCGCACGACACTAACCACCTCTTCGCCCGTCCACTCAAGCCAACACCCTTCTCCCTCTGGTACGACACCGTCGAAACAGCACGTTTTCTGGACCTACCGTTAGTTGAGTTCGACGACAATGATTGAAGTATTATTCGATTCTATGCAGCGCTATATAGCCGCTACAACAACAAAAACATCGAAAGCGTCATCCCTATATTGGCTGATAGGCAGAGCATAATATATCATGATTTCTGTAGACATAGTCAGTATGAATAACATAATGGTGCCTATCGCAACTTGTGTGCCAGTGTCCTGCACTCTCCAGATGAAGAGTTGCCTTTCTTGATAGGAATAAGATAAAAATATGGGTTCGAAAGCTAACATAATGGCCCAAGGGGGAAAAAAATAAAAATAAAAATTTCGTTGGAAAATTAACTTTCGAAAAACTATCACTTTGCTGGCCAGCTCCAACCAAAAAAAAATTTGGTTTTTATTATTAAAAAAGATTATTTATTTAGTAAACTTTTGAAAACAAATTTGAATTCCTCGACTGAAAATATACAAGAAAATTCCATAAAACCAAAAACCAAAATTTGTTTGTTGGAGCTACTCAGCAAAGTATTCTTCTTTTTCGAAAGTTACTTTTTCAATGAAATTTTTTGGGGTTGAATGTAATGATAATGGCATCTCGTAAGCCATTATGTCAGCTATCGAACCCATATTTCTCTATATTTTTATCTTATTCCTATCCAGATATTTACGATGTTGTCCACCGACACTCCCAAATCGTGAATTGTGCGGCGCTGCATAGCCTGCCACTGCATCATCAAGAAAAAATCACTTGTGGCGGGCTGCCGAAACTTTTACATTTATGAATTGGTCTGCAAAGGTTCCCCATTCATTTTCAAAGTCAGCCGAAGATTTGTGAGGTTTTTGATGGCTCCAATTCGTTGAAATATCATAGCACTTTGATTAAGATAAAAGAAATTAGAAAGATTGAAGGCAATTCTTTAGGTTTCAGAAATCCAATCGAGATTTAAATTTAACGCTTTTCTTGCTTTTTGCATTTACAAAAAAATTAAAGAAACAGGTTTTGTGCTTAAAACTATGAGATGTGTACATATCATTCCCACTCAACGTAATTAGCGAATAGAATCTCGTACCAAACAAATGTTGGACAGTTAACCAGCTTTGCGTGCTAGTGTTTAATTTTGAACGATTCTTTGAACAACATTATGCTTTGATTCTACACCTAATGTGCTTTTACTTCGTCTAACAAGCGCATCTCTATACGAGATACATATGTACAGACTTCCTAGTATAGATACGTATGAGCCTAAAAATGCACTATTTTTAATCCACTACATAACCAACTCAATCGGATTTTCATCCGATTTTCATTCATTGCAAGTCAACCGCCGGTGATAGTGTTTTCTCTGCGAATTCCAGTGAAAATATATGATAGCTTGCATAATTTTACGCCGAAAAGTATATGCGAATGGCACATGGTTCAACATAAGAATGAAAATGCAGGCAGCTTAAATAGCAGTAATGGCAACATCATGCAGCATGCAGCATACAAAAAAAAATGCAAATACAAGCAAAAGAATGGCAATATGCAGCAGCAGCATGTGCTCTAATAAGAGTTCATCTACAAACGCTGCTAATCCGTTCGCTTTGTTACACAAAACACAATACTACAACAACAGCACTGATTGCGACATGCACTTCAACAATGCACATATCGCACGCACACCTAGATCTAAAGTGCGATCAACTCAAAAAAAAAAAATATTTAGCCCGTTTTTTTTGCATAAATCAATTCAAAGGTTTTTGTATTAATTGCGTTGAATCTGTACGATCCATAAGCAGTTATATTTCCCACTGAATTTTGAGTTAGCTCACTTTAAATCTAGGTGTGCGATATGTACACCAGAGCGTATGAGTGATGCAAAATTAATGCCGCCTTTCCAACTGCATTACTTCGAGCCTTAAGAAAGAAATTTTGGCTTAAGTGCCCTATTGCACTCTGTTTACATTTTTTTTGTTAGGAGTTAGGAGTTAGTTGAATAGGACAATTCTGCCTTCGTTTCTTATGTTAGGTTAGGTTAATGTGGCAGTCGGTCCAATGACTCACTCACTTGCAGGTCCATTGTGATACCACCGTGAAACACGGTAACCTCAGTGATTATTCTGCACATAACCATTTTGAAGGTCTTATGAAGCGTAGGATTGGTTTTATTCCTACACCGGATAGTTCCGTGAGAGAGGTGAAAAACTGCCTTCCTAGAAAGCCCACTCTGCTCTTAGCTAAAGCTGCGCAGCTACAGAACAAGTGCTCAACTGTTTGTTGTACAAGTACCCTCGCCTAACCATGACCCTTGTTGGCGACTTGAATGATGTTATTTCTAATCCTTAATTTGCAGGTTGCCATGGCCTGCTTTCACACAGTGGAAGATTGGTTCCGGAGCACTCCGTTCGAGATTGGGCTAGTTATTAATCTGGGTCCCCAGCCAGGCTGAACATCAGCACGGGTCGTCTAACACCTTGTTCCAACCCAGAGCCTTTTTTAAGAGGTTTGCTCCTCCGTTACCTCCATAGGCCACGATCGAAAACCATTTCCATATATTGAGGAGCTTGAGCACATGTGGTGCTCATTACCAGTCGGCAATGAGCCTCCACGTGGAGGGTTCAGCCGGAGGATTATCGCGTTCTTAAAATGTTGCACTCCACTAAGGCAAAAAAAGGTTTTTGTTAAGCAAAAAAAAAAAATTTTTTTATATCTCTTTTGGCTTAACCGCCGCAATTGTGTGCTGTAGCCTTTTTTGTGACGGCAAAAAGGGCGTAAGCGACAAAACCACCAGTATAACATACCTAACATCAATCTTAACTTGTTCATTACACACCTACACGTTAGTACCTGCAGTAATTGCAGTGATAATAAGAAAAAAACGCCTATTGAAGAATTTTTTGTCGCTTACGCGTTTTTGGCGGTTAGGGCTCGAAATAATATAATGTATTTCTTATGCGTTCTCTATAATATTGCTGCTAACTATGTAATCAGCATTCTAATGTATTAAAAAAGTTCCAAAAATTTTATATTAAAAACACATTCATTTCTCGATACCAGGTAATGCAAAACTGAATGCCCCACTTTTCTTAGGACATCGCCCTGGGAAAAAAATGCATTTTCGAATGTGAAAAGGGTTGTTTTACTGATTACTATTGAATTACTATACATTACATTTTCCCACTGGGTATGTACTATTACATACATACATATCTAATGTTTGAGTTATGTACATATACAAGAGTATTTAAAATATTTGTGTTTTATATGCATAATACGTAGTTTAATTAAATAATTGTTGCACACAAACATATATATGTATGTATATAGGTTAAGTTTTTCATATAGGATTAGCAGCACGTGTATGTTGCATTGTTGTGCAACGAAATCAAAAATCTTTGTTTTAGTCAGATTAGTAGAGTAAATGCAAATGCAGAAAATATTTTAGAAACCCTGCAAAATACGCTCAAAAGCCAATTAGCAATGGATTTATTACATCAGCTGTTAGCAAACAATTTTTCACATTACCAAGCAATGATTGATCCTTTTGATTTTTGGTTATGCACCTCAAATTAAAGTACTACTGAGGCTCAGTGCACCACTGTCATCACTCCGAAAGGCCCTAAATGGCATTGTTTAAAGGATTTTTTTCTTTAAAAATGTTAAGATTTTTCCTTAAAAATTTTCGGGTTTATAGAAGTGGCGAAAAAATTACATACATATACACACATATATGTATGTATGTATGTATGTTAATTTTAAACATTTGTAACTATGAGGATAAAGTTTGCTAGTCGCACGATAGGCATATTCCTACAGCCCCGAAAAGCTTCGAAAACATCGAAAGGGCAGATAAATTTTACTTGCCGTGACCCAGACCAAATGGTATGTCCTTCTC